AGTTCTTGTCAATTGATAACATTGATTATCGATGTGAGTAAGTAGGACAGCTTAAATTGTTGGTGAAGTGCCGATGAGCTGAGTCGATCAAGCTATTACTACGACGCGAGCTTCGCAATTTGTCTATATGAATCAGATTATTGGTGTAAATTATCAATAAATTAATAGCTACTTGAACCGATTAAGCTGCAATATTGTAAAACCAGTTAGGAAAGCTATGCATGATTTGTCGATGTGGCCGTAGATAGCTATAGTATTATCAATAAATGAAATGTTAATGACCTAAGCTAATCAGCTTACGGCATTCATGAGAAACTACACGATTTGTGCTTGTGAATCGGATTCCAGGCATAAATTGTCAATAAAATATTAACCACCTGATCGATTAAAGTAAAGCATTGCTAAGCTAGTTGGATATACTGCATGGGTGTTACTTATACACGATTTATTGATGTGACTAGTATAAACAGTCAATGAAGTGCCAATAAGCTATGTAAATCAGGCTATCGTAATAATAAAAGCTGCATAAGTTGTCCGCGTGAGCGGGATTATTCGTATGAATTGTGAATGAAACGCTTACTACCTGATCCGATTAAGCTACAGTATTGTTAAACTAGTTAGAAAATACATGATTAGTCGATATGAACGGGATGATTAGTGTAAACAGTCCATGAAATGATAATCATCTGAGCTAATCAAGCTGTAGTAATGATACAAACTACATGATTAACATGATTAATCCATGTGAGCGGAATTACTCGTATGAATTGTTAATAAAATTCGTCGCCATCCGATTTAACTAAGCTACAATGTTGATAAACTAGTAAAGATGTAGGAACTACTCAGCATGATTATTCGATATGAGCGATATGAAAGAAGTTACTAGCATGAGTTATCAATAAAATATGAAGTACTTGATGCAATTAAGCTACAGTATCATTAAAATAATTAGAACAGGTATGCATGATTTGTCGATGTAAATGGGATAAATAGTCAATAAGTATTATTGATCTAAGGCTAAACTACATGGTTTATCTATGAAAGTGGAATTAGTCGCATGAGCTGTTAATGAAATACGACTACCTGATCCAATTATGATGCAGTATTGTTAAACTAGTAAGGATAGATATGCATGATTTATTGATATGTAGCTTTTAGGTAGCATTTTCCAGTATAATATAACTACGTATTTTATCTATGAGAGTGGAATTGGTCACATGAGTAGTTACTAAAATATGAGCCACCTGATTCAGTTATGCTACAGTATTGCTAAACTAGTTCTGATCGGTAGGTATGATTTGGTGATAGGCAGTTGTTAGGTAGCAAGTTCACATGTAATATAACTAAATTTTTTTATCTATGAGAGTGGAATTATTCGCATGAGTTGTTATTGAAATATGAAGCACCTAATCTAATTGTGCTGCAGTATTCTTAAACTAGTTAGGATAGCTATGCTTAACTTGTCGATTTGAGTAGGATTACTCACATGATTTCTCAATGAAATATCAATGATCTGAGCTA